TGAGCAGAATCCAGCCAAACCAGATTTTATGGATGTTCCATGGCATGCTGGAGCCCTCTAGAGGTTCAGCACTGAATAAACAATGCTTTTTAAGGCAGTCCAAGACACAACGTAACTTTCAACTGATTCATATTTACTTCAAAGTAAACATGCACCTGGATGCATTGTTGACAGCAAAGGTACAACCAGCAGAATTTACCCAAGTGCATTTAGGTAAAGGTTTCCCTTGATATTTAGTCCAGTCATGTCCGACTCGAGGGCGCGATGCTCATCCCCGTTTCAAAGCCATAGAGCCAGCGTTTTGTCTGAAGACAGTTTCCATGGTCATGTGGCCAGCACAACTAGACACAAGTCCATTTACTCTTAAGTAAATTATATGTTTTTTTCTCTTTCAAGAATAACACTGCAGCTAGGCATCTCAACTGTGTTTCTACTCAGATGAAAGATCACCTTTTTTCAGTGAGTTCTAGTCTTTACATATGCAATAATTTTATAAGTATTTCACTTAATGGCAGAAGGAAATGTAGGATTACTAATAGAACAATGAACCAACAAAGATAAGAACAAGAAAAAGAACAAACGAAGGTACCCAATGTGTTATATCTTTGTTGTGTGGTGTTACAAATTGCTGCACTGGCTAGTTTGTTTTGGGACTAATTCTAAGCACATCTGAATTTAAAGAAGAATATAACCTGGAGGTGCCATCACAAGCACTGCTATAGTGCAAATCTGAGTAGCAGCTACAGCTCCCTTGCCAAAAAGAAGGACAGACATCACCAAAAAAGACAGACATTCTTCACAGAAAAGGAGGACCCTTTTTGTGTTAAATTAGCATGTGCTAATTTAAACTCATGTATAGAGAAATAACTGTGTCAAAGAATTAGTCAAGGAAAAAGGGGAAAAAAACCTTTGTAGTTGCTGTTGTGAATCTTGCTTGTAACCTATATAAAATATTTATATATAAAATATTTATAAATAAATAAATATTTATCTATTATAATGACCCAAGGCAGCTTACATAATTGAAAGACAATATTTAAACCTGAAAACAATTTTACAATGGTGGTTTACCTAGACTTGAATAAAATTGTTGTTCCCAAATAGAATAGACTTATTGACTTACTGGCGCTTATGTGAATATGTTTAATCAATTCAAAAACAATGGTCCACTGTAGTTAGGACCACAATTAGACCTAGTCCCTAATATTCATAAACATTAAACCCAGTGGGACTTACTAATATAACATGTAAAATTATGGGAGTCATAAATTATTCAGAGATTGGAGTAATATCAGCAAGTGTCCTCCTTGAATAGATACATTGAAATTAATGGGCTTTTTTAGTCACAAAGGCTAGACTCCTATTAAACACTGTTGTTGTTGTTGTGATGTGCTCTCAAATCATCTCCAACTTACAGCAACCCTATGAATGAGTGATCTCCAAAATGTCCTGTCCTCAACAGCCCTGCTTAGCTCAGTATTAAACACTGGTGAGTGTAAAATATCAGTGCAGTAACACGGGATGTCCTACTTGCCTGCATTTAATCAGAGGTCTTGGTTCTCAGTATTAAACATTGGTGAGTGTAAAATACCATCAGTGCAGTAACATGGGATGTCCTGCTTGCCTGCATTTAATCAGAGGTCTTGGTTACAAACTGCCCACTTAGGTTTGCACAAGGAGGTCCTGGATGGTCAAATTGCTCATGCTTCAGTCACTGTATGAGCAGCTTGACTGAACATAATCCTGGCCAAGTAACTTGACCAATGGATTTTAATGGGTTTACTCAAGGTAGGACCATCGTTGGATCCTCCCATTTTCTGTTTCTATAATGGATATAACAACATATTGCCATCACCTTATGTTTGCGTCACAAAGAAACATGAGAAGAGTGATCAAACTCTTAAGCTCATTGTTAGATTCTTGTTCCAGATGTTTTAAATAGATGGAACAAGGAATTATTGTTCTTGGAAAGGCACTCTTCAGATTTGTGCCACTACTGCTGTCAGGCCAGTACTTGACAAAATAGGCAATTATGGTGATAAAGAACCTCCATTTTTCTTTCTGGTCATGACAGGCAAATACCATTTTTCTCGTCCTTGAAACTGTGGTTACATTTTATACTAATGTGCAAACAGTGGTGTCTTTGTGGAGGAAGATTTACTGGTTTGTCTCATATATTAGAACTACTTAAATAAATTCATCTACCAATCTTTCCTCATGTATCAATCAAGGAGTTTTATACTTGTCAGAGAACCAGGACTGGCTACAGCCTTCTGTCAAATACACATTCGGGGGTGGGGGTGGGGAGTGGACCCAAGCTCTATCAGGGCATAATGGCTCCAGATTGTGCTATATGGGCATAGGCATAGGTACACATTGTACACGTACATGTACAGATTGTTTGGAACCAGGAATCATTCACAGCAGATGTGCATTTTGAGATCTAAAAAAAAATCACGTGATTTGATCTGCAGGAGCACAAAGAGAATAAAGGAAGGAGTGCTGTTTAATTCCGAACGTGGAAAGCCCAGTAGTCCTGACAACAGACTTGGACATTGCAATGTTGTGTCCGCTTCCTTGGGATCATGCCAGAAAGGACTGCACGGGACCTTCTTCTTAATGGATATGTACAGGATTGCACTAATGGCCTCAGGAACCTTTGCTTCAAAAGGGGGCATCGAGGCAACTTGATGAAACAAAATAGATGTGGCTGATAGGAAATAATGTAAAGATGCAGTTGTGTTATTGCTCCATCCAATCTGTTATACCCCATCCCTGGTTGTCAATCTGCCTTGTGGAACAGTATCTTCTTTTGCTGGTAAGAGGGAGAGGGGTGTGAAATACAGTACAAACATGTTGTCCTGCTATCTAGGAACCTTTATAGGAACACGTAGAAGTGCCATATCAGTACTGAACAGCTCTGGGGCTCTGTACTGCCTCACTATCAGACCATCTCTCCTACAACAGGTTCTTACTAAACCTACAGTTTTGGAGAACCAATTTAGATAGAAATGGGATATTTTGTGCACATTAAGAGATTTTAAATTTAGATATTACTCCATATGTTACAGAGTTTAATGTGGGAGGTAGGAGAACTTTTTTAAAAAACAAGCCATCAAGTCAATTCTGACTTGTGGCTACCCTATCCAGGGTTTTCAAGATACTCAGAAGTTGTTACCATGCCTATTGTTTTTGACAGTCAATTTAGATGGAAATGGGAAACTGGGACAATGTAGCTTGCCCAGCCTCTCTCTGAAGGCAAAGCAGGGAATCAAACTGTTGACCTCTGGCTCCGCAACCAGGTACCCAGCCCATCAAGGAAGCAAGGAAAACATGCTACGTTACGTTATGTTCCATAAAGTCAGAACTGACTTATAGCTACCTTAGTAGGGCTTTAGTAGGCCTCCTGAGTCCTGGTCCATCACTCTATCCACTACATTACACTGGGTATCCAGGGAAACTTGGAGCCTCTCTTTTTTAAACTCTTGCTCCCCAAATTCTTTGTCATTTGCCACACTACATGGGGCTGATGGGGATCTCAGACCAAAGCATCCAGAGACACAAAGATTCCTCGTCTTTGATCCATCCTTTGTAAAGTGCTTGAATCCAATATGGCAGCCAAGACCCTTCATTTCCATGACAATGGAGATTACCTCAGGAACTGCTATATAGTTACCATCACCTCTATTGCTCCACAGTTTTTTCCCTCCTCAGTTGTTATTAAAACAGAGTAATTGAAAGTATCATTAAGGCTGACATGGCAAACACACTTAGCAGGAACATTTATCACTGTAGAACTGGCTCCTGAACTGTGGAACTGGCTCCATATTTATGATCAGGCTCTTTAATATATTTTCACTACATACTGTAGTGAACAACTTGAGATCACTCTAGCTGCCATGTCACCACATTACAGATTCCTGGGATTAGTCGGTTGAATAGGCTCTTGACCTACAGTTTGTGGGACTGCACGAGAGTTCTTACATAAATGCCTCACCAACCTTCAAATGTCAGGATTGCTGTAGGATGAAGCCAGGGCAGCTGAAGGGGTGTCACAGTGCTGTTCTAATCTAGTGTGCATATATAGACAACAATTACAACACTGCTTACTTGTAGAATAAGGCTTATCGGTATAATGAAATTCTACATTCATCCTAAAAAGGTTGATTGCAGAATAAACACAAGTGTGGCACAGCAGATTGACTGACTTCGTGGTAAGGTTTTGCCCTGTAACAGCAGTCTTGATGCACAGCAATAAACTATAGACTATAATAGTTAATCCAGTGCTGAGATACAGTACACTGCATATAAAGGGAATTCAACAAAGGAAACAATGTTTCCTAGAAGTATTTGTTCATGACATTAAAACAATGAACAAATAGATTAAACAATACATACACTAAAAATAGCCATGTGACTAGGATCAATTCACAGAAGCAAAATCCAGGCTGAGGTCAGCCATATCATTGCTGGGTCAGTAGAAAGTTTCAAATAAGTCAGGCTTTTGAATTTCACAAAACTCTTCATCAGGCACAGATGGCATAAAACGATGAAACAATGACATCCAGTGCAAAGCCAAGCTTATCAATATAAATATATCTGACAATTTGGCCAGTTATTTAATAATGATTATATGACAAAATTGAGACTAAGACGGATTCTAGGTGTTGTTTTCACTCTTAAAATTACTAGTGTGTGTGTACATACATGCATACACTTGCACCAGGAATCAATTTTGCATCCCGTTCACAAAGGCTTGAGGGCTAGCAAATATGGCATAAGCCTTATGCAGCTGCTTTTGCCCAACAAGGCTACATACCAGGGTGTCCACAGAATTTTCCTGGCATGTGTGGAATCTGTATAGTGGTAGTTCATATAAGTTGTGTACATGGTATGCATCAATTGCTACAACACAGTGCCCCCCCTCTGTGTGTGTGCATGCTTATATATAAAGTAAATAAACTTACTTTATATATAAATAAAGTAATAAATTTAGGTTTAGAGGAGAGGGTCAAATGCCCCCACACCCTTGCGGCAGAGACCCATAGCTACACATGTCGTGTTCATAGTCTCTCTGATGTTACTGAAACTTCTTACCATATAAACACACCCAGTGTCAGGCTATACATATGGACCCTGTTTTCAAGCTGGTCTTCTACTGCCCTCCCCTCGCAAAGAAAAAAAAAATCCCCTTCCTGCTTTTCCTTCTCCCTTCTCCTATTTTTCAGTTCAATTTTCAGTTCAGTTTTCAGTTGGATCAAATAAAAGATGGTATGTTGTGTTTTGAATGTTTTAAAGCTGAACATTGTCACCCAGGGAGAAGTCAGTGTGTGTTGAATATTCCTGGATTTGCTGTGCAAGGAATTTTAGGACTGCAACCTTAAAGTGAGCTTCTGAATGGGAAAACAACAGAGCTCCTGATTTGCTAAAAATGTTAAGTCCTATAGAGATAGTTCTCGCTCCTCCTTTAATGCTCCCTCTGGCCGAAAGATTTATTTTTAAAAAAATGACAACAAGAACTGCAAAATAGATAATAATCTGATTGTCCCTCAGGTGCAGGGGGAGAGATTGTCCTACCTGGAGCATTTTGATCTTGCTGTGGCTGATGTAAATCCTCCTAGTAGTTGAAGCAATCTCCTTAGGCATTTCTCCAACTCTGTAGCACTGCACTCGCCTTGGCAGGTCACAACTGCATCTCCGTGGGCATGCGGGGGTTCTGGAACTGTAAAGGGGAAACAAAATGAACACGATGTAGAAGACTTGCATTTTCCTAAGCGGCCTCCTCCAGAGGAGAGAAGGTGCTGGCTTGGATCCACTACATGAGTTTAAGAAGTGTGAACTCTTTTATACCTTTACATCCTGATAAAAAGATAAACACAGGTGGATGTTCCACGGCTGGTGTGGTGGTGGTGGTGGTGGTGGGTGGCGGGAGGGGGGGTCCAAAACGACAATCTCTTAACTTCCTTTGGTTAAGACATTAGCAGGCTGCACAAAGAGCAAAAGGTTTAAACAATGATAAGGAAATGTTATTTTAGACAGCATGGGAAATTGATCTTATTTATTGCCTGATGCCTGATCTGCAAACAGTTCTTTTATCGGCAGTTTCCCAGCTTGGTTAAATGCAACACCCCAGAAAGACTTGAGTAAAGATAAAGAGCTATTTTATAGTGGGCTATAAAATATTTGACTTTCCAACCACTCTGTATTAAAAGCATCATGGGGAATGCTTTGACATATCCCTTTTATTCCTTCTAAGCCAAAGAATCCAGAAGAACAAAAGCTTACCTTACATTGTTCAAAAAGTGACTTTTCCAGTTAATATATTTCACATAGTTCTGAGATGCTTTTTCCTGCTACAAGAAAAGTCAAAGGTTAATTACAAATATATGCATGACATTGTTGTGTACAAAAAATTGTTATGTAAAGAACTTGACCAAATTACCCATTGTTCTCTTTTCTCTTCTCTTCTCTTTCTATTTTCCCCTGTGTGTAAGAAATATTGAAATAAATGGCACTTACTTTGAGTAGACACACACAACAAGAGAATGAAAATGTGTAACGCTGAGAGGCTCTGCTCTTGGTCTACAGGGTGGAACAGCAGCAAAAACTTTGCTGTACAGATCTGTCTCTGTACAATGAGACAGATCTTTCTGCATTTGGCAAGGTGAGCTGTATGGTTCACAAAACACTGTATCAGATAAGATTTGCTAGTCTTTAAGGTGCCATAGGAAACTTGGGTGTTGAGCTCCGCTTGATGTATCCATTCCTGTGAAAACTCTGGAAGCTGTTCTTTTGTGTAGTAAACACATACCCTGTTTCCCCAAAAATAAGACCTAACCTGAAAATAAGCCCTAGTATAGTTATTCAGGATGCTCGTAGTATAAGTCCTACCCAAAAATAAGCCCTAGTTAAGTGAAACCCCACGCTCCAACATTGTGCAGCATTGTGCAGCAACCAGAAGAAGATTGCATGACTGTATTTGAATGCATGTACTGTACATTGTTGTACATGGAAAAAAAATAAAACACCCCCTGAAAATAAGCCCTAATGCGTTTTTTGGAGCAAAAATTAATATAAGACCCTGTCTTATTTTCAGGGAAACATGGTACAGATATCAAAACAACAGCCAGTCCAATGTAACACACCCATAATGCCACACACACACGTTTTACTTCTTCTTAATATAAATCTTTTTCTAAACCTTCATACCCCAGTGGCTGCTGTTTGTTCGGATGTTATGGACTAGATTGTTTTAAGATATGATATCCATAGCAGAGGTTGGGAAAGTTCTGTTTTGGACTACAGTGTTAATAATCCCTCAAGCAGAATAGTAAGTGACTGTGTTGGCTGAGGGATTCTGGGAGTTGTAGTCACAGAAAGTAATGATTCCAATTTCTGCTTCCTGATAAATAAAAATCAGCATCACATAGCATTTACTGACAGGTAAGACCTATTGAAGCAAGTACGACATGTATCCCAGTAAGCACTTTAGCGGGCCACACCATGCTGTTATGACGAATAACAGTTGAATTACCGTAGTCCTTTCAAGAGGACACTGCCAGCCTCTAAAACCTCCTTTCAAAAATCGAAGATTCACAACAGCGGTAAGCTTGACGAGCTTCATAACAACAACAAGCATTAGCCTCTTACAATTTATCTTCCTCCTTCCTTCCTTTCTCTCTTTTTTTTTTTGCAACTTCTCTCTTTCACATGGTAGCACCAAACTCCCAGCTAACCTTTCAGAAACCTGCAGAAAAGCAGATGGAATGTAACTTTTTCCCCTTAAAGAACAGTAAAAGGCATCATATCAAAGATATTTCCTTTCTGTCTATACACAGTTTGCAGACAGATTTCCGAAAACAGATGGCAGCTGTCTGCAAATTAGTTGAAACAAGGCTTTCCCAAAATTGCAAAAATCACCCTTGAAATGGGAAAGGATGAGTCTTCAATTTATAAATTTGTAAGACTTATCTGTAAGACTTATCATACAGTTGATAGCTTTAGGAAAGGTTCATTTCTTCAAAAACAATTTCCCAGAACAGTGGCTGCATGTTTTACTTTTTACCTCATCCTATCTAAGGGTCATGGACTTACCTTTAAAAAGCAAGCAAGTTTGGGATCTGAGCCAACTGAAGCGACCAGCCAATAGGTGCTGTTGTTGCCCAGGGAATGGCCAAATGTGTTGACATTCTTCAGGAAGACTCCTCCCATGTCCCCTATGACAGTAATCAACTTAAATCTAAACCTACCAACCTCACAAATACATAGGTGTTACTTCGGATTGTACACTGGCCCATAAGATATGCTGCCAGAATACAAAACAAAAGGTCCCTTCGAAAGCTGTTAGGAAACAGTTGGGGCACACAACCACAAACACTAAGAACTAGAGGTCAGGCCCTATGCCACTCTGCAAGCAAATGCACAATCTGGTGTGTTACAATTCAGCCCATACAAAACAAATATATGTAGTACCCAATGAAAGCTGAAGAATCATTACTGGATGCCTGAAGCCAACCCCTATGGATAAAATTAATTACCTATAGTGTTCCCCTGAAAATAAGACAGGGTCTTATATTAATTTTTGCTCTAAAATTGCATTAGGCTTATTTTCAGAGGATGTTTTATTTATTTTTTTCACATACAACAATCTACATTTATTCAAATACAGTCATGTAATCTTCTTCTGTTTGCTGCACAATGGTGGAGGGTGGGGTTTCACTTAACTGGGGCTTATTTTTGGGGTAGGGCTTATATTACAAGCATCCTGAAAAATCATACTAGGGCTTATTTTCAGGTTAGGTCTTAATATCAGGGAAACAGGGTAGCAGGCACTACACCCAGTGGCATATAGTGAGAGGTAGCAACTAATAGTGAAAGACTGAAAGAGTCAACTGTGTGTCTGCTCTTTGACTATCATCCTGTCCCTCCTAAATTAAAATCAAAGATTTTTCAGAACATCATCCAAGGATGAGCCGAGAATGCCAGGATTGTAATGTGGAAGGAAAGAACATCTCACCTCTTGAACAAGATGGAACCCTAGGGAAGCCTAGGGAAACCACTTAATAGGCGATAGAGTGGAGTTAGCAGAAGCAAAGTGAACCTAAGAAAACAAGGCTTTTGCACTGACATAATTTTTGGAATGCAAAGGAGAATAGGAAGTGCCATACCTGTGTCAGTGTATGTCTGTGCCCCTCAACATGTACTATGGAAGGCTTGATGCTGGATGCTCCATATGCTCGCAATGTTGCCTATTAATGGGCAAAATTTTTCTCATCTATTTAATTGTACAGTAGTGCTGGTGACACATAAAAATAGAAGACCCAGAAGTTCAACACACATAAGAACACCTTTCCATTGAGGCAGTGAGCCTTGGCATCAGATAGGAATGGGTGGCAGTGGGTAGCGGGTCTTTAAAGGTATCTGACACAGTGGTCAAACTTCCTTCTGTCTAGCACTGATCACTTTGAATTATCCCCCCCACCTAGAGACCCAGAAGAACATAACCATTCCTGAGACTTTAGCTGGTGTTCTGAGACCTGGCAGCCCTATAACCTAAGAAGAGATTCTCAATATGCATCTCTGGCTTCTCTCGTTGTGCGTTCTGCCCCTTTCATTTGGTTACTTAGCAGAAACAAGTGTCTTTCTACTAGAGTGAGTCTTGAACCCTCACCTCAGGAGAGGTGCATGTAAGCTATGTGAAAATGGTATTGTTTGAGTTCTCATTCTCCCCCCCCCCCACTTGGTGTATTGTGCTGCAAAGCAGTGCTTGTGAGGACCATAAGACATAGGATGGGAAACCCCTCAGATGCTGTTGGAACCTCAGCCCCCATCAGCCCCGGCTGTCATCGTGGAAGCTGTAGTCTAGGAACACCCCAAGGACCAGAGTTTCCCCAGCCCTGCAAAGAGAACTTTAATCTCTTCCTGGAGAGAAGCCCGAGAAGTGTCAATAGTCGAGTCATTTCTGGAAGTACCAATGGAGGACTTTGGGTGCTCTGGTGGAGTAATGTGCTAAGTTGAGTCACTCACTGCTGTTGTGAGTTCATTGGTTCCCTCTGGGTGGCTGTTGCCCCTGGCAGAGTCTAGCAGACCTTGCCAATGCTTCCATGGCTGCTATTTTTTATGCCAGTCTGGGATTTCTAGAGAGATCCCCTCTTCAGTTGAGATGACAAACAGCAGACTGCCAGAACTCTATCCAGTGACCTCTATTTATGCCTTCCTGGCTGACCAGAGTAGAACCTTTTGCCTTCTGCTCTGCCAGGGAAGACTCATCCCCTCCCACCCAGGGCAGCCTCTTCATTATTGGCTGGATCCCTCCCACACTCCTGACACCACCTCCCCAAGTGCAAGGCAACCTGCGAAAGGGATGCCACCAGGCTGACAACGTGGCGGCTGGACTTCTTGCAGTAACCTGGGGACTTACTGGTTCACAAACTGGGTGACCTGAGCTTCTGTTTTGTCAGAGGTTTTAATTTTTAAAAAACTTGGACAGGTGTTCCACCTTTTAAAAAGCAGCCTTTTTTTTGCCTCATACGATTTTCTTGGCACCACTATTTAATTATAATAGTAGACTCTGGGACTGGCTTTTGTGTTACTGATTTTCCTGGAAGGACCTGACTTTCTGCATTCTTAGCAAAAACTTGTCTTTAACAAATGCCTTAGTTTTGAGAAAGGTTTCCTTCTAAAATTAACTGTGGCTGTGTTGGATTTTAAGGACTGTTTGTCTCATGTGTTGTTCATGACTAATCAGACATTACTTGGTGTTAAATCACTTCAATTTCATGGGCTGCCTGACTAACTGGTCTAAAGTATAATTCTGCATCATATCTAGAAATGTTGGCTAAAAAAAAGAAAAGAAAAAAAATTCCTAAAGATTATAGCACTTTAAAAACTCACAAATTTATTTCACCACAAACTGTTGTGAATCAACAACAGTGGAGTGCAGACAAATGTGTGTGTGCCTTTGTGTTTCCTTTTCTCTTGCCAACATACTGAGAAAGACTAACACGGCTACTTCTTTTGAACTACCTTCTTCAGTTAATGGAAGGACAAGTGAAGCCAACAGTTGTTAACTTTTCGTTTTGGCAGACTCACAAATTCCTTGACCTCATAATTACCATCAGAATTTGTGGTTCTGAATTTTCGTTAAACTCATCTAGCTGCACAGCAGAAGTGCAGGGACAGAGTAGAACAGTGTCAGGTTTTTCCCAGAGTAGACCTCCCTTTTTTTTCTCATAAACTGGCACTTAACAGTCTTAATAACTACTCTGAGACATCAGTAAGGGAAAGAACAAAATGTTTCATTCACTTGCAATTGAACAGATAGAACAGCAGACTAAACAAACAACTGCTTTTGAGCAATGGCCCTCAACAGATTATCCTGACTGCTTCCAGTAGACTCTAGACCAGCAATTCTCAATGGGGGCCATATGCCCCCACCCTCGGGAGGGCTAGCACATTTGAAGGGAGCCGCAAACTGGAAATAATTATTCACACACCATCTTATAAAGTTTGTTGTGCAATGTATACACTCCTGATTTGGCCTATCTTTCTTTCATATTTTCTTTAAGGGCGTGCCCCAAAAAAGGTTGAGAATGATTGTTCTAGACTACACACTCACTTCCAGCAGACTAAAAGAGAGAGAGGAAAAGAGACAGCAAAGAGATGAGGCTCTTTTTTTTGAAATTAGAGGCAGTGAAGGAACAATTAGTTACTGCTGGATTGATTGGCAGTCACCCCAACCCAGGAAGGTCCCTCTTAGCCAAACTTGCTAAAAGGCAGCATGTGAGGTTGAAATAACTTTAACAGAGTTTTGGTGTGTGGTAATGTTATTTCCTTTGCACAGGCCTGGAGCGCCTAGAGTTGTCTAATTTCATTCAGTCTTAATCATCCTAGTCAGTACCGAGCCATAATGAGAACCAGAGTTCATTAACTGATGGAGAGCCCAATCCAACCCCACACCTGAATATTCAATTACTAAGATACAATTTGGCATTTCGGTTAAAATGTTGGATTTGTGTGATGCAGGTTCCAGTTTCCACAGAGCCTTAGCAAGCTTTATGTTGTCTTGAGCCTGTTTCTCTCCCAGCCTGCCCTACCTTCCTGTTGTAGTCTGCAGTACCCCCCTATCATGAAGATGATGTAAGGATGAGACCAATGTATGCTGCCTTTATCTCATTAGAGGAATAAAAAGGTAAAGGTTCCCCTTGACAATTTTTGTCCAGTCGTGTTCGACTCTAGAGGGCGGTGCTCATCCCCGTTTCCAAGCCATAGAGCCAGCGTTTGTCCGAAGACAATATTCCGTGGTCACATGGCCAGTGCGACTTAGACACAGAACGCTGTTACATTCCCACTGAGGTGGTCCCTGTTTATCTACTTGCATTTGAATGCTTTCGAACCGCTAGGTTGGCGGGAGCTCGGACAAGCGACGGGAGCTCACTCCGTCGCGTGGATTTGGTCTTGCGACTGCTGGTCTTCTGACCCTGCAAGCACAGGCTTCTGCGGTTTAGCCCACAGCGCCACCACGTCCTTGCCTTTATCTCATTAGAGGAATAAATGTAATTAATAAACAAGTAACATTTAGGTCTGCTGTTTTTGTCTACTGAAGCATGTCTTTCCTCAGTCCCTCATTAGAGGAATAAATGTAACTAATAAACAAGTAACATTTTGGTCTGCTATTTTTGTCTACTGAAGCATGTCTTTCCTCAGATTTTCAATACAGTGGCTAAAATCCTGTTGCTTAGTGTAGAAGTCACAACTAGAGTAGGCCATAGAATCATTGGGAATTTGGTGAGTCAGCTCCTCTGTAAGCATAAAACCAGAGCAAGGAGTCCACTCCCATTAGTCTGCAGTTTGTGCACCCATTTAGCAGCCATTGCCCTTTTTACTCTGGTGCAGGGCTTCCATGATTCCTGTTGAACATTCAGTATCAGGTGAGCAATAGCAAATGTCGGGTGAGAAAGAGCCACCCCACAGGTCCCTGATGAGAAAAGGCCCATTATCTGACCCATTCTTTGTCCAATGACATCTCTGAGCTCAGCAGTGTATGTTGGTCCAAGCATGAGATGTTCTTGTTTAAGGCAGCATACACATCAGCCTTCTTTGGGGCCTTTTCAGTAGTGGAGTTGGTAGCAGGGTCCAGCATCAATGTCCACAGGAGGGTGGTGCACAAGTGGATGTCTTGTTCAAATATGGCGCTCTGATCCTGTGGATGA